CCCGTGGGCAGGTGTGCCTGCAAGAGGGGGTGAGGAGGGTGGAGTTAGAAAAGGGGAAGGTGGGAGGGAGGGGATGTGAAGACAGCAAGGGGTGGCGAGCAGGCCCAGGGATGAGGGGAAGGGACCGGGAGCTGCGCGGGGCGGGCGTTGGAGAGCAGAGCGGGGCAGGAGCAGGTGGTGAGAGGGAGGCCCCCCAGCAGGTCGGGACCCCAGTTAGGAGAGGAAGGAAGTTCGGGCAATTAGCCGGGCGCGGAGGGGCGGCTCGTCGGGTGGTGGGAGGACGCTGCTGGAGGTGGGGGCTGGGGCGCGGGCGGAGGCGGGAGCGGGCAGGTACGCGCGGCGGGCGGGGGCCTTTAAGCGGCGGCCGCGCTAATAACCTGTCCAGGAGATGGCTCGTGGCAAATTGCTTTGTTAGTCTTGTCAGCGCGGCCGGGGCCGCCGTCAGCGCGCGCCATGGATCAAGATGATGAATCGCCGCGGCCCGCGCAGATGCGGGCGGCCCGCGGGCCTGCCCGGGGCTGGGGGCGGGGGCGGGGGCTGCGGGGCGCGGGGCCGCCGCCGTCAACGCTCCAATTAGCTCTAAGCCCCCCGCCCCCGCCGCGCCCCGGAGTGGCGCGGGGCGCGGACGCAGTCTCGGGGCGCGCCTCCCGCTCCGCGGCCGCCGGGTCTGCAGGTCCGGGGCGCCCGCCGCCAGGTGGGGCCGCCTCGGCCACCGGGACCAGAGCCGGAAGAGCATCTTGGGACGGCTCGGGTGGGGGCAGCGGAGGACAGAAGCGGGGGTGGCGCTGGGGGGGTGACTGCGCCCAGGCTCCAGCGCCTGAAAATGCAGGGCCGGGCCGCCCCGACTGGGGGGCGCCGAGCACCCCCCCTCCAGTGATTTGTACACCCGGCTGGGACCCCCGTGGCCTAGGAGTTCGCAGTTCGGGCCGAGCCCCGGTGAGCGCCCGGTTCCCCCGGGTCACCAAGCTCGCCGCTCCCCGCCTACGCAGCGCAGCTCGGAGATCCAGTTTAGAAACCTGCCTCCAACCCCGCTCCCCGCGCCGGAGGCGCCGTCTAGAGACACACTAAGTATTTAGACCGTGCACAGAAGTGTCGCCGAGTGAAGGAGTCGTCGCGTGGAGCTATTTGTGCACGCATAACTCACAGCATAATGAATGCGCCAATATCCACATCCCGAAATGCACCGCTGCCTCCTCTCCCAGCCGGGCAGCCCAGCGGGGGGAAGTCTACAGCGGGCGGGTCCGCCAGTCTGGGGACGCCTTCCTTTTTAAGCCCTTTGAAGGTGTCAGCCCCAGCCCCAGGGGGCCAGAGGGTGGGGAGGCCCAGAATCATTTTCACTTCTTAGCTCCTGTCTAGACGGTGGCACGGTGGAAACGTTTAGTTAAATGAGTAAAACCCACCCACATTGTGGCAGGCTCGCTCTCCATCGCCCCAGGCCACTCTAGGGGACACCTGATCACTCCTTTCCACCTCAGCTTGTGCCAGGGACTCTGTGCCAGTCCCTTTCTCTGTAAGAATCCACTCTCAAGGGCCAGGGGTGGCTCAGCGGTAGAGCACATGACATGCATAGGTGGGGACCCCCTGAGTGCCAGGTCCCTGCCTCCAAATTTCCAATCAGTCCAGAGGTCAGCCCCATGAGAGAGTCTGAGTATGCCAGGCTGGAGGCTGCACCCGTTTCTCTGGGTCCCACCACCAGGCTGGCTTCTCTGGGTCTGGGGTTCCAGTCTGCACAGTCCCATTTTGCTACAAGGCTCCACACACCAGCCTCCCCACCACCACCTGTAGTCCTGGACCTAGGCAGTTACCCTGGTGGAGGCCATCAAGGCTGGGTTCCCACCCAGCTCTGAGTCTGCCGGGCAGCTGGTTTTTCGAGGAGAGCTTGCCCAGATGGGCTCTCGCTCACCAATAGAACCCTGTGCCCCGTCAGCAGCCTTGGCTCCTAGTTTGGGCCTGGAGTCCTGGCCCCAAGGGGAGGGTGCAGGCGAGCTTGGGCTGTGCCCTCCAGTTGGCCCTTTCCTGACTGAGACAAGCAGCAGATGGGTTGGAGTTAGACCACTGGGGAGAGACAGATGAGGGACCCTCTTAGTAGAAGAAGTGGGCCTTCCATTGGGAGCAGTGCCCCCAATCATCCAGTAGAGATGGCTAGGGTCTGGGAGAGACTCCACCATCTGTGCTCACATGGAAGGGACTCTGGCGTCCCCTCTTGTGTGTCCCTGTCCGTGACCCTCTCCTTGTGCCCCTGTTTCCAGTGCTGTGTGTGGAGTAGAGTGCACTACCTGATCCATGTGCAGGGATTTGTGGGGGAGGGGCGGGGCGCAGCATTCCCTCCCAGCACTTCTCCAGCATGTCTGAGTGTCCAGCCACCAGCCAGAGTGACCTGAGCCAACAGCCGCCTCTCCCGTCCTTCCCTCCTTCCTCTTGTTTCCTCTCCTCTCTTCCCGGTCTCCCCTTCCCTCTGGATCCCTTCCTCTTTCCTTTCCCTTCCCTCCCTTCCCCTTCCCTCTGCTTCCTCTCCCTTCCCTTCCCTTTCCCTTCTCCCTTTTCTTCCCTTCCTTTCCCTCTCCTTCCCTTCTCTGTCCCCTCTCCCTCCGCTTTCCCTTCCCCTTCACTTCTTCCCATTTCTTTTCCTCCCCTTCCCTTCTCTTTCCCCTCTCCTTTCCCTTCCCCTCCCCCTCCCCTTACCCGCCCCTCCTCCTTCCCTCTCCCTTCCCTCTTCTTCCCCTTCCCTTCCCTTCCCTTCCCTTCCCTTCCCTTCCCTTCCCTTCCCTTCCCTTCCCTTCCCTTCCCTTCCCTTTTCCCTTCCCTCTTCCCTCCCTCACATGCTCAGATCCCTGAAGGGAAATTAAAAGGTTATTTAAAGCCCCCGCCTCCACCTTTCTTGTCCCTTTAAATGGAGCCTAAACGGTTTTGCTTTGGCAGAAGAAATCTTTTCTGGAGCTTGGGGGTGGGGGTGGGGGATCCTGGTGGGAGAGAAGGGTCTAAGCGGGCCTAATCCTCTTACCGCCCCCTCCTCTGCCCTCCCTTCTGAGGCCACAACTCCCCGCCCCCTTCTGAGGCGCTTAGCCCCTCACTCAGCTCAGGATTCCACCCTCAAATCTGTCTGTGGCCCCTCTGCCCCGCCCAGCCCCAAATTCCTGTCCTCCTCCCTTCCAAGCCTGGACTGTGAGTCTCAGGCAGCCGGGAAGCCACCACAGCCACCTCTCTGGGTTTTCTCGCCCAGCTCTCTGGATCTGGACTCCTTCGCGCTCTACGCACAGCCCAGAGGGAATGCCAAGATGGGGTCCCGTGGTCCCAGACACAGTGGACGATGACACGCTACATCTTCCTCTGCCACTCAGCTCACACCCGCCCTTGAACTTGCAGCGATGCACCGCTGGGCCATGTGCGGCACACAGTCCTCCACACACTAGAGATCTCGGAAGTCCCAGGCCTCAAGGACACACTTCCCAGGAGACTTACAGTCTTTGCCACAGTAAGCAAGGACCCGGTCGGCTAACCTTCCACTCCCTTCCCACACTTGCGTGAGGGCCCACCCAGCCCCACAGCCTCAGTCCAGTCACCTGCTACTAGGGTACCCCTGCAACGTGTCCCTGTGGAACACACCTTTAGGAGGTGGAGCTCCGGTCCTCTGGTCCTGGAGCCAGCTCCAGATGGCTTGTCACCCTGTCACCATCCTGCCCACCAGCGGCAGGCAACAGTGGGGCATGACAAAAACAAGCGGGTCGAGAACCAGGGTTTCTGCCTGGAAGTCAGGCCCCTTCAGACCGCTGTATGTGCAGCAGAGTTGGCAGTGCCGGACCTCTCTGGTGGCCTCTGACAGGTGACAGCTGCTGAAGCAATCCTGTGTAATGGGCTGAGTGTGTGGGCGGTGAGTTCTGAGTGCTCGTGGTGGATGGAGTGGTGGTGCTGGGTGCGAGGGCTGCAGGCAGCGGGGAACCATGGAGAGAAGGTGTGTGTGTGTGTGTGTGTGTGTGTGTGTGTGTGTGTGTGAGCGCGCGGGCGGGCGCCGCGCAGCTCGGGACCTTGGAGGCACGGTGCGGTGGGAGCCAGGCCCGGAGTCCCCAAGGCCGTTGCATTTACCCTCTGCTCAAGCCCTTGCCGAGGACCAGGCCTTGGGAAGGGAGGGTTTCTCCAGTCTCCTCCTAGCCCCGAGGATCGGCCTGCGGCTTCCGCAGAGGCCCCAGACTGGAGATCGAGAGACGGAGGTTTGGAGTCAGTGGCAGACGCTGGCCGAGCCCACGGACTCGCGGGCGGTGGGACCCCGGCCGCCGAGACCGGGAGCCGCCGGGCCGCACCGGCGGGGCGGGGCGGGGCGGGGGCGGGCGCGGCGCGTGATTGGCAGCCGCCCGGGCCACTGGGGAGCGCGAGGATCGGCGCCGGGCGCGGGGGAAACGCCGTTTAAAACTCCAGCCTCGACCGTGGCGCGCGTCGATGGCAGTGGCGGCGGCGGCGCGGGCCGGGGACACCAGGTGCGAGCGGGCGGGGTTGGCGGGCCGAGCCGGGAGGGGCGCGGGGCGGGCGGGACGGGCGGGCAGCGCTGGGGACCGCCTCCTTCCCCGCGGTCCGCGCCCCGGCCAGTTCGAAGGATCGGAAAGTTTGCACGGGGTCAGGGACGCGGAGACGGGCTGCGTCAGGGGAAGGCCAGGGAGACAGAATCGCGGGCAGACAGAGGGACACGCGCCCGGCGAGACGGACGGCGCTCCCCCGCGCTGCAAACGAGGCGGAGAGGAAGAGCGGCCGAGGAGGCGCAGAGAGCGCCCAAGTAGCGAGAGGGGAAGAGGGGGGTGGGGGGTAGAGAGAGACAGAGACAGAGACGGAGAGAGGGAGCAGAGGAGAGGAGAGGAGAGGAGAGGAGAGGAGAGGAGAGGGGAGCAGAGGGGAGCAGAGGGGAGCAGAGGAGAGGAGGGGGAGCAGAGGGGAGGACGGGGAGCAGAGGGGAGGACGGGGAGCAGGGGAGAGGAGAGGGGAGCAGAGCGAGGAGGGCCGTGGGCAGGAACGCGCCCAGGCGGTGTCGGAAGCCTCGGCCCGCGGAGACGCAGGCACCCGCAGAGAACGCTTCGGATCCGTCACGGTTTTGCCTCATTTGGAAGATATTACTTCGCCCCTGAAAAAAAATAAATACAAAAAAGGTTTGGATATTAAGCGGAGACAAATCCTTCTCAGTTTGGAGGGGGTGGGGAGGAGGTGGCCGGGGTAATGCGGAGCAGATGCGGCCCGGGGCGTCGCGAAGCCCGGGGCCCGGGCTGGGGAGGGGGCGCGGCCGGCGGCTCGGGTCTCCGCTTGGGGCCACAGGGGCCGCCCACGTCCCCCGAGCTCCCGCGTCCCTGACGCCCCGCGCCCCGCGCTGCCTGGGCTCGTGCCAGGGCCGTGGGCTCGCGTCGCGCCGCGCTGTTCCGTCTCGAACTCGGCGGCGGGCGATGCGTCTTTCCTCCCGGACCCGCGTCTCCGCACGAATTCCCCTGCCGGGACTGTGGGCTCAGCGCCCCGCCGGCGCTGGCCCTCGGGAACGCCGCCTCGGCCCGGGTCGCCCGCGTGGGTGTTTGGGGGGCAGAGGCTTTAGCCCTCGGGGAATTCGTTTCGCCTTCCGCGGCCCGACTGGCGTGGGTCGGTGGCGCTCGGCGGGGAACGCAGGCTGGGCCCAACCTGCAGCTGCGCCCGGCGGGAGTGGCCCAGGGACTGGGGGAGCTGCCAGGGCCCCGACGCCCTGGGCCTCCCTCCTGGAGCCCCCAGATTCTGGAGCCCGCCCTGAGTCGGAACAGGCGATGTCCCGGACCCCGCGAACTGAACTTTCCCGCCGCCCAGCACAAGTTCCCAGCGGAGCGCTGGGGCCGCCGGCTGGTGCTGGTGCGCGCCGGGGTCTGAGCCCAACCTCTCGCGTCCACGTTTGCCTCAAATCTGGGGCCCCGGAGCCTTCACCGTGGCGGCCACACTCCGCGAGGGCTGACGGCCTCTTCAGGCTTATGATTTGTAGGATGAGGGAACCCCGGATTGCGGGGTGAGGTGGGAGAAGGTCGGGATCCATGGCCTTTCGGGGTACCCCGTTTTTCGAGTTTGGACCCCTGTCTGAGAAGGGGAGCAGCTCAGTTTGGAGCACAGTGGCGCAGTCGTTTCCGCCTGGGCCACCAGGCAGTATTTTTCGTTTTGGGAAAGTATGCGGAGGCTCTGGGCCCGCTGGGGCCCGGACTGGTTTTCTGGGGGTGGTGCTGGCTTTAAGATGGGGCCTACCGAGGTGCCGAGGTGACGTGGGCCCCGTTGAGGAGACTGTGCATGTTCCAGCGGCCGCCACCCGTGGGGTGACTGGTGTCTGCTCCCGGAACTGGGGAGCCTGTGTGCTGTCGGGCGGGAGTTCGTCTTCCCAGCAAGTCAGGGCCCCTACTAGTTTTAGCTTTTCAGTTTTGCCTCTGGGCCTCGCCAGTCCTCCCTGCAAAGGGAAGGAACCCACCCAAGGAGCTGGGAATTTAGTCCCTACCTCCTCTCCTTGCAAAACGTTTGTGCTAATGCGTGTGTTGGGCATTCAGGAAAAAAATCGAATTTACTGCCTAGTGAGAGCAAATTATCCGGGTAATTGGCTCAAATTTCTCTCTGCCGCTGGAGGTAGACTCAGTCTTTGGAGGAGAATCAGAGGCTTGCTACTTGCTACTTAGGATGAGGGTAAACACCTTCCCCCAGCCCAGCACACCCCAGGGGCTCTGGACTCTGCTGGGACCTGAGAACCTGCCTCCTAGACCTGGTGTGGAAAGCGGAAGAGAGGGCAGAAGGGCAGACAGGAAACCCGCCCCGGGCGAAGGCAACTTCAGGGCGTGCATTCAGGGTCGCCGGAGCTCTTCCACTCAGTGGGGTGGGGTGAAGGAAGCTGGTGAGTGTCTGGGGAACCTCTGAACCCCCATTCCCAACATTTCCACGCCAGTGATCCGATGGTTGGGACATTGTGGCTTTTTATCTCCGGTGCAGACAGAACTTGCTTCAGGGATTGGATCCACAGTATTCGTTCACCCCATGGCTGGAGCCACGGAGCAGAACCCCAGATCCAGCACTGACCAGGACTGCAGCCCCATGGGCCAGTTTTCCAGAAACCTGGGCTCTTGTGGGGGACACCCAATTGGGTTTGGTGGTGGAGCCCTTGAATCAGCTCGGGAGGAGACCTGGATCTTGGGGACCACAGTCTCCCATTTCTGAGCCAATCCTGCATACAGGCACATTCTGGGCTGGCCACATGGAAGGACACAGACCCTCGCTGACCCACCCTTCTGCCAATGTGGCAGCGTCACCGGGCTCACTCACACCCAGGTGAGAAGTCACAGATTACACAGATTGCCCCAGGAGCACAGCCTGGCGTGTCCCCTGACAGCACCAAAGGCACACACAGGTTTAATTCAAGGGGCCACTCACACCATCACACACAGCCCCACTCCCAGCTGTGCGCGGGGTTGCCACAGTCCAAGGGCCGCGGCTTGCAACTTCGGCTGCGCTACGCCCCCACTCCCGCCAGCCGCTCCTTACTCGCCGGGACGTAGCGGAGCCACCCCCACCCCACTTCGTTTCCCTCCCTACTCCCCTTCCCCACTTCCCGCTCGGCCGCCCCGCGGTGCCCATGTAAATGACAGCAATAAATATCTAATCAAGGCCCCGGGCGACGCCGCCACCAAAGCCCATTACCGAGCAGGCGGGCGGGGCCGGGGCGGGGGTGCTGGGGGTTGGGGGCGTGCGGGCGCGCTCGGTGCTGCAGAGCATTTGCCCCGCACCCCACCCGTTGACCTTGAGTGGGTCATTGCCCCTCCGCGCGCCTCAGTTTCCCGGGCGGTTAGAAGAGCACTGAGCTGGGCTTCCCGCGCTCCTGCGGGCAGTCGGGCGGCCCTGCGACGTCTCTTTCTTCCCAGTGACCCTCCGAGCGCGGGTCCGCGTGGCCTTGGCGCTAGCGAATTGGCCGAAGTCCCAGCGCGTACCCACCCGGGAGTGCGCCCCGGGCCGCGCTGTCTCCGAACTCGAGCCGGGTCCGCCCACTCGGTGGAGGGCGGCTGCCCGGGCCCGCGGGCTCTCGTCCTGAGTGCGTTTCCCCCCGGGGTGACTCCTCTGGGCCAGGTCACCGCCTCTGCGGGCCCTGCGTCATCGCGCCCCGAGGCCGCCGGGGCCCCTCAGCGTGGTTCGTGTGCGTCACGGCTGCGAGGCGTCGTCGGTTGAGTCGGCCTGTCCGCGCCCCGGCGGAACCCGCGCGACACAACACGCCCCTCTGCAAGTGTCACCCGGGGTCGCGGGTCTCGGCTCGACCTGGAGCAGCGGCTCCGAGGGGCCCCGCAGTTTCGGGGTTCTCCGGGCCGAGCAAAACAGGCGGGCGAGGCCAGCACCCCTAACCTGCGGGCGCCACCCTGCCCTCGCCGCGCCCCGCTCGGTAGCCGCGTTCCCTCCCTCGGCCGCTCAGTGCCCCGCTGCAGCTATGCGGGAAAGGACAGAGGGAATCTCGCAGTCTGCCCGACAGTTCAACTCCAAGGCCCGGGTCAGGCGTCTGTGGCCCAGTAGCCTTGAGAACCGACGCCGGGAAGGAATGGGGCGGGGGGAGGAGAAACAAAAATTGGCCGGTCAGCGTCTCTCTCCCTGCTCTGTTTTGCTGCTTAAAAAAACAAACCCAGAATCCCAACAATGCGGGCTGCCTGATTTCGTTGCCTCCCCCCCCAAAAAGCAGTAGCACCTCAAACATAAAACATAGACGTTAGGCACACGGGCCTCCCTCAGTCTCGGCCCATTAGCCTGCGGGGGGCTAATTACCCCAATTAGCGGCTGATTTATAATTAATGGCTCGGACCAAGGGATAATTGGATGTTAATGGATAACAGTTTGTGTAGGGAGCTCAGAGCCCGGGCTCCTCCAAGGGGCCGCAGGGGCAGGGTCTGTCCCCAGACCCCAGACCTTTTCCCTCCAGTGCTCCCTCGACCCCCACAGCCCTGAGGGAAGGTGAGAATCTCCTTCCAGGGAACTAATGAGCTCTAGGGCCCTCCTGCTCCCTGCTGGCCCACCCCTGGCAGGGACACACCAGGGAGCCCACCTCTCTTTGGGGGTCCTCTTTGGGGGTCCTCTACTGTGCCAGAAAGGCGCGTCAGAGATTCTGGACTTTGGCAACAGCCATGTGGAGTGCCCTGCGTCTGTACCAGGTGCCATCTGGGGATTAGGGCATGGTGAGGAACAAGGCAGGGGATGATGGGGACTGGGATGAAGTCCGAGCTGCAGCTACGACCGACTGGGCTGGGGCTGGGGCAGGGAAACATGTCTTGGCTTCTGCGGAGGATGTGGGTCCTCCCTGCTGGGGTAATGTGGCTTGGTTCACTCAGTTTTGGGCTTTGTTGTCCCTCTCAGTCTCCCAGAGCTAGTCCCCCTCTCATCCTTTTACCACCCTGCTGGATTCTCAGCCTCCAGGACTCATTCCACTTCCCCAGAGTCCTTAGTCTGACAAATGGTGGCTCTGTCTTGTGGTGTGAAGGTCCAATGTGCCCCGGGCTGGGTGCTGAGTGCCAGCCCTGGAGCCAGTCTTGCCGACAAGATCTCAGCTGGGGACGTTTGGGGCTTCTGGTGGGACTGAGTCCACAAGATGGAGTGAGACTTCCACCTTGCATCGTGGCTACACTCACTGCCTGACCGACCGTGGCGTTGGGTGAGTGCCCTGTGAGTTCTTGGACTCGGGCGCCTCTTTTGTCAGGGTTAGTCTGTTGTGAGGATTCAGAGATGTGTCCTCTGTCAGTTCTCTATCAGGTAAAATTCATTGTTATATCTTTGGCAAGAGGCATGCGTACTGATAACTACAGTTTGGTGAAGTAGTTCTAGGTTCAGTCACATGACCGACCCAACCTAGGTTACCAGGGGCGGCTTCCTGGTAAAGGGGAGATTAAGTCTACAGGAGGGTTCAGGAATTCTCCAAGTTGTATTGGTGGAGGACAGAGGAGTCAGGGAAGGTCAGAGCATGGTGACTCCGGAGAGCTGGTCTCAATGGAGGTGCGGTGCATTAGGAGTGAGCAAAATAATGGCACATGATGAATTTAGAGATGCCTTTCAAGAAACGCAGCTTTGAGGGCCAAGGCAAGAGTCCAGAGTGCAGGGCGCTTTCCTTGAAAGTGGCTGACCTGGGTCAGATCCCTGACGGTTC